CCCGCCTGGGCGTTGATGCGGGGAGGTAGCGGTGCCGCGGCCCTCCCGCCTGCAGGCTCCGGCTGTGCACAGGCACACCTTCATACCATCCACCATGCAGGTGCTGAGGTGCGGCTGCCCCTCAGCCGCCATGCCCCCCCCCAACCCCCACACCCCCTCCGATGCGGCTTCCCCTCACCTACCCCACCCCAGGAAGCTGCCCTATCTGCCACCCGCGAGCGCCTCGACTCGTCCCTGCCCGCCGGCGCCGCCCCCGAGGTCCGACTATTCCACGCCTGCCACAGCCGCCTGCAGGAGCTGGTGGGAAGCTGCGCGGCGCGCGTGGTCGCGTTCAACCTGGGGTACCTGCCTAGCGGTGACAAGCGGGTGACGACGAATGCGGAGACCACAGTGGCGGCGCTGGAAGCGGCCCTGGAGGTGCGGCTCCTTAACAGCAAAAAGCCTGGACAGATGCGAGACCTGGACAGATGCGTGGGGGTTGGGCCGAAAGTAGAGGCTGGCGAGTCGATCGTCCCGTTGGCCGATCCCCAAGCTCAAGCGCTGGCGCTGAGCAGGGGATCCCGGCGCGGCCGCCTGTCAGCGGGCAGCAGGCTGTGACGAGGCTGTCAAGGGCGTGCATTGAACAGCACAATGACTTTGCTCGCTTGCTGGTGCAAGCTCATTTCCCCCCTTCTCCCTTCCCATGGCAGAGTGACCCCCCTTCCCCCCCGGCAACAATCTCGCCCCGCGCACACCCCTACGACCCCGTCACACACCCACACACCCCGCGCGTCCCTCCCTTGTCGCCGGCAGGTGCTGCAGCCAGGGGGCCTGCTCACGATCATGGCGTACACGGGCCACCCCGGTGGCAAGGAGGAGTTTGATGCGGTGGAGGCCCTGCTGCAGGGCCTCAGCCCCGCATACTGGGTCAGCAGCGAGGTGCGGCTGGTCAACCGGCCGAGTGCGCCGGTGCTGCTGATGGTGTGGCGGCGGTCCGACGCGGCGGAGGCGCCGGGGCGGGGGCCGGCGAGATGAAGGGGGCGTCGCGGGGGCCGCGGCCGCGGCGCTGAGTGTTTCTTGGCTTGCGACCTGATTCAGGTGCTCTACTGCGACCCTGCGCCGTCGCCTGCTAGTGCGCGGTCGATGACACAGCACGCGACCCTGTGTAACCAGCTTGGCACTTGAGAAGCCCGACAGGCTTTGGGCTCTCCAGTTCCATGGGTCACGCTTTTGTGGCCAATATTCACCGGGAGTGCGTTTAGAGTCCAACAACAACCAGCTTCAGCGCTCACCCCCAAGTCATGCAAGCACACTTCATTGCAAAGACATGTGAAGTTTTGGTGTTGCATCGACCAATTTATGTGCACACCAACATCCAGAAGGCCGCACGCAGCCGTCAGCGCCCCGCCTTGAACAACGCCGACCCTTTGAACGACGCCCTCCTGCTCCCGCTGCCGCTGCCGCCGCCGCTGCCGCCGCCGCTGCTACCGCCGCCGCCGCCGCTGCCGCCGCCGCAGACGCCGCCGCTGCCGATGCCACCGCCGCTGCCGCCGCTGTTGGTCTGCCTCAGGCTCGGCTGGCCCCCAGGGATGGGCGGCAGCGACGGCGCGCCGGAGCTGCTGCCGCCGCCGTTGCCGCCGCTGCCGCCGCCGGCGTCGCGGTCCGCGGTGGCGCGCTTGGGCTTGATCATCCAGCCCATCACGCTCTGCTGGCTGTTGAGGGCCGCGCCGACGTCCAGGACGCGCTCGGCGGCGCCGCCGTTTTTGAAGTGCTTGTTGTAGTTCTCCTCCCTTAGTGGATAGTGACGTGTGTGTGTGTGTGTGTGTGTGAGTGTGTGCACGCGTGTGTAAGTGTATGTTCGTGTGTGTATGTTTACATGTGTGTGTGTAGAGGGGCTGGGAGGTGCAGAGTTGCTTCAGGGTGGCGCCCTGAATACGCGCCCGTCTGGTGCATGTGTGTTTCGCTGCGGCCATGCTCCGCAGCAGCTTCAGCAGCTACTGCCCATGAACACACGCGTGTGCACCCCTTGCGCGCGTCAGCACCGTCGTTGCGCACGCGGCACACAAGGGGACAAGAGCCCGTGTATAGCGTACGGAATGACCTCCCTGCTTACACATACACTCACACACACGCATACACATACACATACACATACAGTTACAGACACACATGTTCATTATAACACACCCCAGTCCACACGCCCCACAACAAATCACCGCCCCCCCAGGCCCACCTGAGTAGCAGCTCGTTCCTCAGGGCGGCCATGCGGCCCTCAGCGCCCCTCAGCGCCTCATCGCGCTCCCGGACCGCCCCCTCCAGCTGCCCGATGCGCGCCACATCCTCAGGCCGGGGCTCCCGGCCTTCAAAGCGCGCGCGCCACGCCGACACATCCCGCTGGAGCTCCGCCACACGCGCTGCAGCCTGGGGATTTGGGGGATGGGGCAGGGCAGGGACATTCACTCATGGACAGAGACCTCCTTACAGGACGGCAAGGCGCATGCCTTCATCATCACTTTTCATATGCGATATCTGAAGGGTGGGGGCAGACGCGCACGCGGTGCATGCCTGGGCTGTGGACGAGGCGACAGGCCCTGCAGCGGTCCCGCACCTCCCGCGCCGCCGCCTCCGCCGCCTCGCGCAGCTGCTGCGCGGTGCCGGCCGCGTCGGCCGCCGCGGCCGCAGCCTCGGCCTGGTGGGCTGCCCGCAGCAGCGCCTCGCGGTTGGCTTGCTCCTGCGGACATGATGAGATGCACACACATATTGCGGGTGCAACGAACTTACAATCATGACAGGTGTTTGGGCTGGGGGCGCGGCTGTAGGGCACCGCACACCACGAACAGCGCTTGCAGGGTCATGTTCCATTTGGCACGCAGCCCTGAAAAGACAGGCCGCCATGCGCTCGCCAGACACCAACGCACCTGCTTGGCGGCCAAGATTGCCGCCTGCAGCTCCGCAGTCTTGCTCATGACCGCCCCCTGCAGCTTCCGGTTTGCTTCCTCCAGCTGCCCCTTGGCCTCCTCCAGCGCCGCCGCCCGCGCCGCCGCCGCCTCCCCCTGGCCCCGCGCTGCAGAGCACCGCCGCTCCAGGTCGGCCGCGCGTACCGCCGCGCGCGCCTCCGACTCGGCGAGCGCCGCTTGGACCTCGGACAGCGCGGACTCATGCCGCCGCGCAACCTCTAACGCGGCCGCCTCGGCCTGCGACCTCGCCGCAGACGCCGCCGCCCGCGCCCCCTCCAGCGCCCGCGCCGCCTCCGCCTCGCGCGCCCGCGCCGCCTCCGCCGCCGCCGCCTCGAGTGCCGCGACATGCCGCGCGTGCTCGTCCCGAAGCTGCTGCGCGGCGGCCGCCGCGGCCGCGTGCGCCGACGCCACGGCCAGCTCGAGCGCCCGTGCAGCTTCCTCCTGCGCGTCCTTTTGGCTGCCCTGCATCCGCGCCTCCAAACTCGATATCCGAGCGGCGTGCTCGTCCTTGAGCCGCTTCGCCGCCTCCTCCCCCTGCCTCCTGACCTCGGCAAGGTCTTCCTCGTGTCGTCGCGCCGCCGCTGTCGCACCCACCGCCGCGGCGCCCTCTGCGGCCCGCGCTGCGGCGGCCGCGTCCTCCTCCCAGCGCCGCCGCTCCGCCGCCGAGCGGCGCGCGGCCTCGGCCAGCGCCGCCTCTTGCAAGCCCTCCAGCTCGCGCCGCTGCTGCTCCAGCCGCCCCGCCAGGTTCTCGGCAGCTTCCCGCCTCAGCCGGCCGTCCAGCTCCCCCAGCTCGGCCCGCAGCCGCGCCTCCGCCCGCTCGGCTTCCGCCTCCAGCCGCGAGCTCAGCGCCTCGGCGCCCGCGCCCGCGTCCGCCAAGCGCGCGCGCGCCTCTGACAGCTCGCCTTCCAGGGCCGCCACATTTGCATTCGCCAAAGCCAGCCGCTGTTCCGCACGCGCCCGCTCGCGCCGCGCGTCCTCGGCGGCCGCCGCCGCCTCCGCCAGCCGCCCCCGCAGCA